CACTGACTGAAGGCCTGACAGAGCTATCCCAAGTGAAAGGACCTCAGTGAAAGGACCTCAGCTCCCCTATAATAAGGAGGAGACAAGATGATAGCTTTTCCTCGGTGTTTCTCTTCCTGTGGTGGTGGATGCCTAGTTCAGTCTGTTAATCATAAACAGGTTCTGTTGCTGGTCTAATAATAAGTTCATTTTGCAACTAAGACATTTAGATTTTCCCCCATTTCAAAGGAGTAATTTCCATTTCTAAAAAAAGTGTTGGTCCCATAAAAGGAGGAATCGCATTTCCTACTTTGTACACAAGTGCTGCTTGCTCGTCTTAGAAATGCAGAGCCCCAGACTCTTGGTTCAGAGATGATACCTTTTGTTGGACCAACTAAGAAATCACAAAAAAAAGGATCTTTTGCTCTTCTTATTCACCCTGCTCTGGAAAGAAATCATTGCACATTACTCTAGGGTTAGACTATCCATCATATGTACCATCGATCATTCAGTGTGATCAATCTACAATGGGGCCCTCCATCGTAACTAGTCTCTCATTTGCCTATCAGTCACTCTATAAGAGCACAAATCTCACAAAATAGTTTTTAAAAAAAAAATCCATTTTAAAACAGTATATTTAGATACAAATCTCACAAAATAGTTTTTTTTAAAAAAATCCATTTTAAAACAGTATATTTAGACTGGCAAAGTTTGGGATGAAAAAATGGGGTTTGTGGAGGCTGTTAGGCAACTTTAACACAAATTGTAAGTTGGTTGTATTTCTACCTGGGGCATCCAAATGATCCTTTCAAATAGGGGTCAAACCCCAGGATTGTGTAGACCTGTCCTGAGTGAGGCTCTTACCTACCTGTGGCAGATAGCTGAGGGGTCTTCCCTTTTCTTATACCTTGGCAATGTAATTAGAGCTTGTTCTTCCAACAAAGCCTCCTAGATTGGGCCCATGCTAGATATCAGTTGTGCAAGGGACTGTGAAGGGAAATATTGAATGAGCTACAATGCTTGGCTACTGCTCAGAAAGGGTCCTTTGAGTCTGAGGACCAGCTTGAATGAGTGAGAAAATGTTGGGGATATCAGGAGGCTTTCTATGTGTCCTCTCAAGACTGGGAGCTTCTTGAGGCAGAGACTATATCATCCTCTGGGCACTGGGGTCACTCAGCAAGGAGGTCTCCAGAAGACCACTCTCCAGGAACAAAGGGACCTTGGGCTCTACATTTCTTCTGATAGACCTCCATCACCAGACAGGATCCCATTAGTCCTAAATTACACCGTTCCTTAGTACGGCTCAGTTCTTGTTGTGTCCTGCCATCAAAATATACCTAATAACAAAAAAAAGACAACCCTCAGCTGTTTATCATGGCTTATCTCAGAGTTTCTTTCCAGTTTTCCTCTGACTAGAGTGAAGAGAAATGTGATATCATCTAAAGATCAATATGTTGGTTTAGGGGACAGCTCCACCTGCCCCCCAGGCCTCCACCTCTCTCTATCGGATGGACCTCTGACATAGACAAAAGCCCATGTCCTTCTCATTGCACAAGTCCATCTGTTACTCTGCTTCCCCATCCAATTCCCCTTTGGCAAGAAACAAGTGGTTATGTTTCACTTCAGATAGTAGCATCCTTGGCCAGGTACCATGTCAGCAAAGGAGATCACCACCGAGCTGAGGTACCCAACCATATGTTTTAAGTTGAGTTATGAGGTTTGTCATGTCCCTTCCAGTGTGTCAGCAGCACCACGGGGCATGTCTGGTGAGAAGACATGAATGCATTTACCATGGTAAGCCACTGACAGCAGAATGAGAGTTTGTGCAGAGTGGCTGATCACAGGATGTCTCATTCTGGAGATAAATGGTCACGCGTCAGCCCCCTCTTCAAGGGGGAGTAAATGGATGGCGAGTGTTTGTTGAGGATGCTGTGGGTGGATTGTCACTGACTTTTCATTTGTGCTCTGAAGAGAGAAAAGCTATTCTTCTTGTCTGTAGGAGAGGCCTCCCCACAGTCAAAGCTGGAGAATTCGGTCCGGGCCTCACTTGAGCGTGCAGATAAGGAGATAAAGACGGCTCTGAAGAAACTCGTGGGTGCCACGGTACCGCATTCAACTCTTCCTCCAAGTGCAGAAACAGAGGCTGATCATCTTGGTGTTCTTGAAGCTGCACCTTCTGACCATTCAGATCAAGAAACTAGGCCTCCGGTGATAGTTCATGAAGCTGGAACTCAAACCCAACGTGCTGGCGGGCACGGTAGGTCGGAAGTGAGGTTAGAAAATTTCCCCTGGATATCAAGAGAGACAAAAATGTTGCACATAACAAAAATGAAGCTCTTCTCAGCTCGGTGTTTCTTTGTGTTCTAACGAGAGAAAGATGCACGATTTCAACACCACAGTGCATGGGGTAGTCCACACTGAGGGCTTTGTTTCAGACCGTTCTGAAAAAATGAAGCATTTGCAAAATTTGGATCTGAAACAGGGTTTGAACTTTGAGTGCCCCGAAAGTTTAGGGACGAAGGATGGCTCTCTAGCTGAGACTTTAGTTTGGGATCATCTTGGCTCTTTTAAGCGTACATTGGACCTGGATGTGTCATTGGTGTTTTTTACTATGAGTCATACATAAAACAGTGATTTAAGCCTCTCTACTTGACACCCCTTGCTTTGGTGCCACAGACCAGCTAGGCTATGTAGGCATGATGGGTTCACTTGCATTTGATTGACATAATACAATCTTGGGCATTTTTTTTTTATTAGTAAAAAGAATGCCCTGCATACCTAGAGCTGATATACATCTTGCAGAAAGCACAGGAGCTTTCACGTTTGTGTTACTCTGTGTTGTTTAAAAAACTATGGAAAGGTTGGTCGATATTACAGCCTTTCCATTTTGTACCTTCGTTTACCACCAGGAGAGCTGTTTGGTCTAGCCTGTCCTTGTTTCGTGTCTAGTCGTACTCACTGTCCTTAGTCCAAAGTGATCTTAAAGGGACACTGTCCAGTAGCCATCAGCTCGTTAACGAGAATGCAAACATTTCAGGTCATTAGAAAAACAAACAAAACAAATTACATGAAATGCTTGAGTTTGTAAGACTTTCCTGTGCCGTGTTGCAACCCCAAAACGGTGCTATCCTATCAAAGCACAAGAACCAAAGGGTACCTATCGATATACAGCAAGAGAAACAGAGTCGCTTAGTTGCTCAGGGGTACCTAAAGGAAAACAAGAAAGCCAGTTGCTTAAAAAAATAGATGAAAACTTAAATTAGATGTTTCTGAAATTGTTTCTATCTGAATGATTTAAGGCACTCTTCGCCTGAGCAGGTGTTCTTAACAAACAGGGGTTTGTTAGCTTGACAAGTGTCCCTTTGATTACTTAGGTTCAAGTAAGAACAAGAAGGCAAATATTTCAACGCAGTGGCGATAAGAATATATTGAGTGAATCTCCAGCTCTTCTGTGAGGCCCTGGTCTTTTATTAGATTGTCTTTTATAGTCTGGTAAAGCTGCCCCATTAGCTCTTAGTATGCCGGGGGGGTCATGTGTCTTTGTACCAGAAACCGTGACTAAGGATCCCCTACCCATGCTATCAAACGGTGGCACCTAACTCTTTTGGCAGACGTGTACGTGTACCCTGTACCCTGCGATTTCCTCTGCCCAATCTACTGCCCTCTGCTCCCTGCATTGTGCTCTCAGCCCACCCTGCTGCTCTGCTTTCTGCTTCCTGCCCTATCTGCTGCTGTGCTGTCTGTCCCCTTCCTGATCTGCTGTGTTCACACACAGGCTGCCCATGCCACTGGTGACACATGTGCCATAAGTTGATCATCCATGCCATCAAAAACAGCTTTCCGAAAAAGAGCACCCCTGCTCTCAAAAAAGAGTTGGACGCATTGTTTCCATTGTTTTGCTCCTTTCTTATTTGGAAGATGACAACCTAAGAGATAATTGTGACGGTATTTATCACATGGCTCTTGTTGGAATAGTACCATCAAGCCTGTTTTTGAGCCTAGAAGTGTATAATGCACACACACACACTCACTCACTCACTCACTCACACTCACTTTCATTTCATAACACTTTTTGACCAAAATGCTGGACCAGCTTCCATTCCCACCCACAGCAAAGTTTACTGAACTTCCACTATAGTCAAGGAATTACACCACTATAAAGGTGCGCTATTGGTCTAGATCATTTTTTCAGTAACATCACCTAATGGGACCTGATTTTGATCTCACTCACCCTGGTTTTACATCAGCCTAGAGCCCTACTGACTTCTTTGAACCTACCTCTGACTTGCAGCGATGGGAGTTGAGAACTGGTCCAATAATTCGGTGTGCCTTAGGAATCAACGCACTGAAATTTATCATTGGAGCCAAAAAGTTGCCATTTCACTAAATCTACAACCTGGAGGTCTAACCCTGTCTTGCAAGATATTGTTTTAACTTGTCCGCTTCATGCTTCCTGGCCTTTTTTTTTTTTTTTTGATTCCTTTTTAAATGTTGTTTGTGTCATTCCTATTCATGTCTGGGTATTTCCTCATCAAATGAACCCTTTTGTACAGTCTGCAGTGTTCTAACATTGATCCTTGTGTTTTAATTCAAGTCCCTTTGTTGAATGTGTTCTTCTGAAAAGGCTCAAATTCCCCTCTTGGCTAGGATGGCTCAACCCCATCGAGATCAGAGGGGTTGTTCAGGTAGAACTCAGCAGAAACCGACCCCAGAGCTGCCCTCTTGTTTTCAGTCTTGCTGTGCTATGCAACTAGTCTCACAGGTCCTGTTTCCACTGCCAGTTGAACAGCAGGACGGCACTGGGACGATTCCAGATGAGAAACCAAGTGAACCAAAGCCTAGTCCCACTGCTCCCCAACGAGAGACAACCGCTGGAGCCGCAGGCAGTCAGGAGCGCACTGTTCCCATTACCAGGTAACTGCAAGTGTCATGGTACTAGGTGCGTTGAATGGAATTTGGACGGTACCAGTCTTTGCCATGGAAAAAAAGCTGCCTTGCAATCTTTCTCTCTAATATAAGCAGCTGGTAACTTGAATCAACTTTAGCGGGGCAACATTAGCCCTAGCACATTATGCTTGCTTATCTCATGCAGGCGGAAGAGGCTGAAGAGATACAGCACGGTGAGAGTAAGTCATTAGTCAAATGCAAGTAATCCAAATGAAAATGGCATCAAACTTAAGCAAGCCTTGATTTCTCTGTCTGCTTAAATGCCCAGAAGAACAGATGTAATCCTAAGGGTCTGTATTAGCTCTACGGTTGAAAGTGCATCATAATAATTCATTGCATTCATATTTACAGTCACTGGCATATTGTAGGAAGAACCGAGTAGATCAGAGTTTCAAAAGCACATCTACATTATAGCTGGCCAGCGTCCTATCAGGGACAAAAAAACCCAGGTTTTTTTCATTATTTAAATCCTAAAATGTTCCTGATTTGGTCCTAAATGTTCCTAAAATGTTCCTGAATAGCACCTGGCCCTTGATTGCAGTGTATGAGGATGCTTTATAACTAGACAAAATGAGCAATGATGTATTCACTGTGAGAGATAATGAGCAGCAAGTATGGGAGAAGGCGGTGTTCAAGTACTTACTGTTATAAAATAGCTCCTACTTGACTATATCTCTTGGTCTACCCAAAAAAGGACACCGGCCAGGGATGGAGCAGACTCGTATAGGAGAGAAGGGGCAGATGTGCTCTGGGATGTCCAGAGTGAAATTTATATTGAGACCACGGAAAGAACGTGCGTGTACAAGACCGAGGAGAAGGCTGCAACAAGTAAGAAACTGCATTGCCTCGTCTTTCTCTCCGCCTCTGTGGTTGTCTCCTTGGCTGGCTAGGTGCCATGCTTGCAGGCAGAAAGGCCTGAATGTCAAAAGCCCATGAAAACCCCCCCAGACACAATCTTTTTTTTAAATGTCTTGATTTGTTAAGCCAATCTGACAATTTTTGGCTTACCATTTTTGGACATCGTGGCAGTACTGGAATTTTCTTTCCAGCAACCTGAAAAATGGAACCATAGCTCCCATCCGTGTATCCATGACACATTCATGATGACACAGTTGTCCTCTCATTGCAGTGGTGTCTTCTGTCTCCCCAGGCCCACCGTATATGCAAGTGACCATAGAAGATGTGCAGGTTTGGGATGGGGACCTGGCCAAGTTCCAGGCAGTTATTGAAGGAAAACCCCAGCCGACTGTTTCATGGTACAAGGTAGGTGCAAGATGCTCCCAACACTGGACATGCAGCATCCAAGGAGAGCAACAAATATCCTAGAAGCTAGAAAACATCAGTCACGGGTGGGGACTATGGCGGGATATAACAAGATCAAATGGCTTCTTGTACTTCTGGCTGAAGCTCATTTGTGGGCGAAGCGAAGAAGTTCTGTTAAAACCTCTGACAATGTCAATTAAAGAGCAGAACGAACTGGAGAAAATGTAGGACTATGGGGCTAACCCAGCTGGGCAGTATCTAGTACACCTGGTCCAGTATCCTGTCTCCAGCAAGGGTTAGTGCCAGTTGCTTCGGAGGAAAGTGCCTGCGTTAGACAAATATAGGATGCCTGGTCCATAGACAATGGGAGGTTTCTTCCTATGTCCTGTCAGGTAGAGGATTGATTTATAAGTGCTATTAGCATTAACAATGCAATGCGATAGGATTCTCATGAATATGTGAGAAGCGAGATTTTAATTTCATTTCAAGATTCAGTCTCATGAATATGTAAGAAGCAAGATTTGAGGGGAGAAGTGATGTCTTTTATGGACCAGCTGTATAGTTGGGAGAGATGGTAGGAAAACATTTAGGCAGAACATGCCCTTCCTAGGTCTGCAAAAGAAGCAGATTTTAACTGTTTTAGTGGTGTTTAGCTAAGACTGTATCTGCTTCTTTCCCAGACCTGAGTGAAAGGCATTTTGTACTGGGAAACTTAGCCAATATATTGTTAAAGCTAAAGCCTCATGCTGTAGCAGTACTTATTTCTGTCTTGGATTGCCATGCCAAAGGATTGTCTCATTTTTCCAGGACAATTCCTTGTTGACAGACAGCAGCAGGATCCATCAAGTGAAGGAAGGCACAACCTATTCCTTGATCCTAGACAGTGCTGCCCTTGAAGATCATGGTGTCTATACCTGCATTGCCAAAAATGCAGGCGGGGAGGTCTTGTGCAAAGCAGAGCTCATTGTGCATGAGGGTAACTTAACGCCTTGGTTTTGCTGGGTTGACCCTTTGGCCACTGCATTTGTTGCATGTCTTTCCCTTACGGCAGCAATGCTATACTTTTTTTTGGCTTCTGGAGATGTGCACGCATATTGTCAGCACTGTTGGCTCAGAAGTCAGAGAAGGTGCTCTCAAGAGCCCTATGTAGTGACCTCTTATTTTCCTCTGGTGGTACTTGTATAGAAATGAGCAGTTTCTAAACTACCAGGTACTTTCTTCTACTGCAGGAATCAGCCACCACATTGAAAATGGCATTTGTTTAAGAATCCAGTGCAATGTGTAGGGTTTGCTGAAATGCTCAGGAAGGAAGTGCCATGGGAAATCAGTGGGCAGATGATTTTTGTAGGGAAGCACAAACCAGTAGTAGTTAGAGGCATAAGGAGATTGCTTAATACTTTATTTTGAGCTAATGATGACAACAGGCAAATTACAGCACTGGTAGAGAGGATGCCATTAAGAACTCAGGGATAAATCCTCAGCGGGTTGTAAACTTGATCCAGGTACATTAGTCTAACTATGGCAAGTTATATCATTGGAAGATGTACTTCTCAAGGGTACCTGGTGTCCACCATCATCAGCCCTCCTTGACTAATTTGAAGCAGGTGCTAGTAAAGGGAATTGTCCTGATTTCCCCTCCCAGAACATCGTTGTGACAGCTTTGCATCTCATTGCCATGGTTTTGTGGCCCTGCTATTAAAACTCCTGATTTTCTCTTTTGTTCCCAAAGTCAAGAAAGATGAAGTGGAAAAGAAGAAGAGCACCCGGAGAAAACTCCATTCCTTCTATGAGGTTAAGCAGGAGATAGGAAGGTAAATGTGATTTTTCCCTGTAGAGAAACGTGCAGGTGCCTGTCTGGTTGTTCTTGATGTGTAGAGAACTACAGTACCACGATAGTGACAGGGTGAGCAGAAACTTCAAGGAAAAGCATGTCTTTCCCTGATTTCCAGCTAGTGCATGGAACAGAAGAAGGCAAATCCTGTGTTTTGCAAGCAGGAGGGTGTCTAGGGGGCAACTGCAGTTATATCTACTCCACATCCCTGGCTAGGGATGCTCTTGATCAGTCTCTGCACACCTACTCCTGCTCACAGGTGTCAGACCAAGGAACAAGTGTGCAAAGCCACTCTGCATTGCCCCTGCCACCTCTCTTGAAATCACTGCCTGGCACAGTTGCAACTGCTTCCCTTGCACTTGCAAGCTTGGAGTCTAGCAAGCAGGAAACAGTGTGTGTTCAAAAGCAGGTTTCCCTGGGAGCACAAAGAACCGGATTTAGGCATGCCCTCAGAGCACAGACAGTAAGGGCCACATCGCACCTGTCTGAGTATTGCAACTGAGAGAAACTAGCTGTGCAGGCCATATTGTGCTCTACATTTCTGTAATCAGACTAACGTTCCCTTACTCTTCTGCGCGTGATGAATCAGTGGCTATGTACATATAGACACAAAGAGTGCCTGTAGGCATGCTGCGGGGCTGCTCCGACACGCTGTAATTACAGCACATCGGAGCAGACTTGACTAATCAAGTCTGCTGGAGCGTGGTACTTACTACACCAAACCCAGCCTCCGCGTCTCGTGCATTCGCATCCCTGTGCTTCAGCGTGGCAGCAGGGGCACTTTCACAAGCCATTTTGACATGTAGGGACACTGATGCACAAGACACTGCAGTGCTTTAATTAGAGCGGCTCTAATTAAAGTGCCCACCACCACCCCCGAAGCAAAGCGCCCAAAGTCTGTTCACAGGGATCTAACCTGTGGTCTCCAGTACAGACCCATATTATTCGAGCTAAAGGAGTAACCTAGCAGTATGGAGAGCCAGCCAGTAGAGGGAGTAATGATTTCACCGGTAGTAAAGTCAGATCGGGGTGTAATGCTGCCTTTCAGCTGCCAGTGGTGGGAAAGGCTTTCAGAGAGGGGATTGCAGGGGGAAACACGAACGCGTTGCACACCTGCCATGCAGGTGGGCTTGGAGGGAGGCCTGTATATTTCTTTTTCGCATGCAGGGGCTGTTTCAGCTTTGTGAAGCGAGTTGTGCACAAAGGGAACAGAGTCTCCTGTGCAGCAAAGTTCATGCCTCTGCGAAGCAAAACCAAGGCTCGAGCCTACCAGGAGAGGGACATCCTGGCCACGCTTTCTCACGACAAAGTCACCCGGCTGCTGGATCAGTTTGAAACGAGGAAAACCTTAGTTCTGATTTTGGAACTGTATCCTTTCCTGCACTGCTTTGTCACAGCCAAACCTGGGAAGTGTTAGGGAGATCCCACCTAACAATATAAGTAACCATTTAGTTTCAGCCTGAGATAAAAACACATTTCCTCTGCACTGGAGTGCAACATCAGTGCGTTCAAGACTGTGAAGTGCTCATTCAGATACTAGTGAGCACTGTCTAAATACTATGGATGAATGGATGGATTGAGCCAATGACTGTCAACAACGCTAATTCAGAAAAATACCTGTTGTTGATACGAATAAACTCTGGTTGACTATATAATGTCAAAGCTTTTTCCTGAAATTTAGGAAAGCCATTATGGTCTATAACAGTGGTTAGCAACCTTTTCCAGCTGCAGGCTGCAATAACCCACCTTGGGTCAGAAGTAGTTGGGCAGGTGGGTGCTAGGACATCCCATACTTGGTGCTTCTCTCCATGGTGGTGAGGTCAGAGCTCCCACCAAGTCTGAATGCCACCAAGTCCCACGTCCAGAGGCCAGATTCAATGGCTCTGTTGGCTGGATGTGGCCCATGGGGCATGAGTTACCCAACCCCTGACCCAGAGGATGAATAGTGGGCAAGTGAAAGTGAAAAATGGTGAGAAGTATCCAAGCATGGTGACCAAAGGATGAATTTTAGCACAGGCGTCTTGTTATTTCCACTTCTCATTTCCGAGGAGCAAAGTTTTACAGCACTTTGGTTTCTCGACACTTTAGAGAGGGGAAATGGCCCTTGATGCTTCTGATTTGAGAAGAGGGGTGGGGGGAAGTTATCAGATGCCCGGCCTTTGTGTAAAACAGAGAACTTTGAACAGAGCCTTGCCAAAGAGAGGCTGCCATGTGAGATCTATATGTTTTGCTTACCAAGGATTTGATTGGTTGCACAATGTTATGAAATAACAAGAAAAACATCAGCCTTTTTTTCCTTGATGTCACTGCTTAGGTGCTCCAGTGAGGAGCTCCTGGATCGGTTATTCAGGAAGAGTGTTGTGACTGAAGCAGAGGTAACACGTCCCTCTCATTTATAATTCCAAAATAGAAATGTAAAATCATAGAAAAGAAGGGCTGGAAGGGTCCTCCAGAGGTTATCTAGCCCAGTCCCCTGCTCGAGGCAAGATCGTTTCTGTCTGAACCATCCCAGACAAATGTTTAACTAACTCGGTGACTCTCAAACTTTTTAAGTTCAAGACCCACCTTGTAAAATGCCAGCCCTTACCTTTTATGTATTTCTTGACTACAGAAAACCAGTAGAGCAAATCTTCTGTTGCAAAGAACTCAGAAAGCCCACAACAGGGCAGAATGGGTGCATATACACGTACTAATTTTCTGACAGTTAAGTCAGCCTAACTTTTTCAAGTCAGTTTAACTCTCAGAGCATACACACGTATGTGGAGCAGAATGGACTTAAATGCAGTGCAAGATAATACACCTCTGAGGTGTATTATCTTGAGCTGCATTAGTTAATACTGCTGTGTATCACAAGATGGCTGCCACCATGTCAAGGACCTGTACGTGCATATGCACTGATGTGGCTCAACTTAAGTTGACTAAGTTAAGTCACCTTATTTTAAGTCGACTTAGATGTGTGTGCGCGCACAATGTTTTTGCCACTATGGATTCCTCTTTGAAATCTCTGGATTTATCTTTTGAATTATTCTGGAGGTTGTTTACAAACCTACTGTTGCACAGCACCCTGCCGCACCCTTAAAAGGATTGTGTGACATCTGGTTGAGAATCACTGGTCTAACCTGCTCCTATATACTTCAGAAACAAACCCTCCTGCGCAACAACTAGGCTTTGCACGCATCTACATGTCACGTGACATCGCCGTAGCAGTGCATTGCGTCACTGCACTATGGTGATGTAGCAACCGCGCATGTCTACACATCACCAACAGCTACTTCACTATAGCAGTGTGCTCACTATGGCAAAACAGTGGCTAAAAATCTCTGTGTGCTGCACATACGACGCAGTATGGTCTGTTATTGTGCCATGCATTAGTACTTCCAAAAAGAAGTACTAAAGCATGGTGCAGTAACAACGTAGGGAGATGTGTAGATGAGCCAATAATGTCTGAAACATCAAAAATATCCCTTAATCCCAAGAACACCCTCGCCCAAGTAGAGCACGGGGACAAGAGCATTCTCAATGCCCTGCTGCTATAAAGACAGGAATAGTCTGTTAAAATACACTTGAGATCCAAAAAAAAGGACCAGGTATAAATTTCTTTCTCTTCTACAGAATGTAGAGTCTAGGTACAGTACCTTAAAATACAGGAAATAGCTCTGAATTAGAACAGAACAAGCTTTCTAGAATCATAGAAAATTAGGATTGGAAGGGAGGTCATTTGTCAAGAGGCCATCTAGTCAAACACCCTGCAACGCTACGGCCTGGGGACTGTCTGGCTAAGCAGCAGCTCTGAAGAAAAAGACCTGGGGGTTACAGTGGACAATAAGATGGATATGAGTCAGCAGTGTGCCCTTGCTCCCAAGAAGGCTAACGGCATCCTGGGCTGCATTGGTAGGAGCGTTGCCAGTAGGTCAAGGGAAGTGATTCTTCCCCTATTCTGCACTGACGAGACCACATCTGACGTACTGTGTGCAGTTTTGGGCCCCCTGCTATAGAAAGGGTGTGGACTAGTTGGAGAGAGTCTAGCAAAGAGCAATGGAAAAGGTTTGGGAGCTGGGGCACATGATTTATGAGGAGAGGCTGAGGGAACTGGGCTTATTCAGTCTGCAGAAGAGAAGACCGAGGGGGATTGAATAGCAGCCTTCACCTCCCTGCAGGGGGTTGCAAAGAGGATGGAGCTGGGCTGTTCTCAGTGGGGGCAGATGACAGGACAAGGAGCAATGGGCTCAAGTTGCAGCAAGGGAAGTTGAGGTTGAATATTAGGAAAATATTTCTCACTAGGAGGGTGGTGAAGCTCTGGGTGGTTACCCAGAGAGGTGGTGGACTCGCCATCCTTGGAGGTGTTTAATCCCGGCTAGACAAAGCCGTAGCTGGGATGATGTAGTTGGGGCTGGTCCTGCTTTGAGCAGGGGTTGGACTAGATGTGATCTCCTGAGCTCCCTTCCAGCCCTCATTGTCTATGATTTGCAAAGATGAACCCTCAACTTTTTGCATTCCAATAAGAGTTTTTTCTCAAAAAACTGTGGGCAGGACTGGGGTGGGCTCAACTGCGTGGGGCGGGTGGTGGCAGCTCAGGGGGGAGGGGTGGTGCTGGGAAGTATGGCTATGGGGGGGCTAAGGTAAATTTTGGGGTGGCTGTAGGCCCACCAACTCCCCCCAGCATGGCCCCTGCTCCTCACCCTGCCTGTGAACAGAGATAGTGCCCTATTAGTTTTTTCCAGCCCCTTATCACTCATGGAAGAAGAGGCCTCAAAACTTCTGTTTTAGAGCCCAAATTTCTTGCCTTACATTACCTATATTTATTCTCTTGGGGAAAACATCAAATAAAACTGAAAACTGGTTTTCTAAACTGAAATCCTCCTCCAAAGTGAAATTTTACTCATATTAGGATCTGTCCCTGGTCTAAACATGGTTTTCTAAAGCCATAACTCCTAAATATATGAAACAAGCTCCAATGTGGAAGAAGCTATTTAGTAGATGTGTTTAGATTTGGTATTCTAACATACAGTTCGCTCTCTCCTTTTGCTCACAATGGGCTCCCTTCAAAAGTTTATTCTGATTCTTGAGGTAGTACCAGTGCTTGCCTTATGCCTCCTTTTGCCTATAGAGAATGTAACTGGAACTGATGATCCCCTGATGGCAGAATTCGCTTTTTAAGTAGACCCCTTATATCACTCAAATACATTTTTAATTTTTAGGTTAAATTGTATATCAAGCAACTTTTGGAAGGAATCCAGTATCTCCACGACAACAATATCCTTCACTTGGACATTAAGGTAATATGCCAAGGAGAACCTATTTTATATTAATTATTGACGTTCTTTATTCACATATATTTACTTTATATCTACAAACATAGCCCTTTACAAGCAAATGTTCTCCACCTTTTCTGACTCGTTAGCCTGCAAATATCCTGATGGTTTATCCCGAAAGAGATGACATTAAGATCTGTGACTTTGGATTTGCTCAAGTGATAAATCCGGCTGAGCCTCAGTTCAGCAAATATGGGTCCCCGGAGTTTGTCGCCCCAGAAATTCTCTCTCAGTCACCGGTGTCAAAAGCAACAGATATCTGGTAAAGTTCTTCCCTTTTTTGCAAGAGCTCTAGCACCAAACTTTGGGGATTCAGGATAAACTGATTGATTCATTAGGATTTTGCAAAGTGGCATGTATATACAGTCCATGGTGTGTGCACTGTAACTTTCTGTATATTTTTGCACCGGAAGGGCCTTATCTAGCCCAAAGGCCAGATCCTGTTCTACCTATCACGTGTCTAAATGAATTTATGTGCCTCAGGGCGATCCTATTCAACCCTGCTCAAGTTCCTGAAAAATGCACCTACATTGTAATGTGCCTTAAGACTGAGACTAGGTCACAAAGTGCATTTCAGGCCTTCCTCCTTTATAAATATTAAGAAAGGGGAAAAAAGATCCCTCCGCCCATTTTCTTTTATATTCTTTAAATGGTGCAAAAAATTGTCCTAGATTAGAATATCAAAGCAAAAAATCCCAGAATAGCCTGGGACTAAAGCAATAGAACAATTGGATTTTCCTTTCAAGAAACCAAGGTCCTTTTTACACATTAATTTTAGGCAGCTCCTAGAAACTCTTAACCCCTGACTTGTCCACACATTAGCACCTGAAATTAGTTTTAAATAACCTTTAGGCAGCTTAAAGTTATGCCGTTCCAGGGCAGGTTTATCTGTGATCCATGTTACCCGGCTCATGTTCCATTAATATGTGGCCGCTCCACACAGAGGAGCTGCCCAAATTGCAGTCCTCCAGCATCCTAGGATGCAGTGTCTCCTCTTCCACCCTCCTGTTCTGTCTGGACAAACTTTCTACCCCCTGAACTCTACTGCCCAGTAGAGTGATTTTGGCACCAAGTAGGGATGGTTTTTGCACCAAGGCAATTCTCCCTCTGCCCCCCAGAGCTGTGACCTTCCCACCCCCAGGGGTAAATGGCCGGCAGAGAACATGCCAGCTAGCCAGGGTACAGGGCATTGATGGGTCCAGAAGTGGGGTCTATGTGGGTGGGGAGCAAACAAGGTAGGGGGCTGGATTGGATCCCCATGAGCTGGGCCTTCCTTCCCAGGACGGGGGCAGTAGCTTCGCCCAGAAGCACCTTCCCCCACTGCTCCCTGCTCCCATCCACCCTAGGAAGCATGACCAGCACCTCCCACACCCCAATCCCAAATCCCAATTTATGAAAACATGAGACTTCCTTTCATTTACTTCCTTTTTATTTCTTTTAAATTCTTTTTTTTTTTTTTACTTATTTTTATTTTATCCTCCACTGGCTGACTTCTTTCATTTCACCACCCTTCCCCCACCCCATTTCCTTTCCACTTCCATTTCATTATCTGCCCCTATCCCATTAACTCTCCGCCTCCCAGTTTCATGTTCCTGCTCCCCTCCACCCACCCCACCGCCAACACATCTCTCTCACCCTGCACCTAAAGCAGAGCGAGAAGCCTGTCCTGGCTCACCAGCTCCTTGCAGCAACTCCCCTACAGCTCCTCGTCCTGCCCCTGCTCACCAGGCCTCTAGTGGCAAGTCACAGCCATGGAGGTGGGGGACAGTCAGGGAAGGTTTTTAGCCATAAGGTGTGACTGCTTCAGACTCGAGCTAGCACTAACACTGATCAACATTTGAGCAGCTCAAAGTGCAACGTGTAACCAGGCCTGATAGGAGATCCTACTATACAGTTGTGTGGATTACTGTCAACTGGCTAGGGTATATCAAGGTTGGGGCAGGAACAAGAATAACTGCTTAACACAAGTGTGTTTTTTGTCTCACCAGGGCTCTTGGAGTCATCACCTATTTAAGGTAAGTAGCTATAATTTACAGGCTGTCTTCACAAATCCTTAATCCTGCCTCACAAAAGTTTTCCCAAGGCTTTAAACGGCAGTTTTGAATGAATGAGGAGTGATGCCCTGGACCCTCACATGTTGGTGGCAATTATTACTATTTACTAACATGTTTAATGTATACATTACAGACTATGTACTCGAGTCCCTACCCCCAAAACCTACCCCTTTCTATAAATATTATAGTCTATAGATATTATAGTCACATTATAGCTTTGGGTTATGCATTTCACAGGTGTCATCTTTTCACCACTTATTTTAGTCTTCACAGATACCAAAGTATGCGTCCATGTTCCTTTGTTGAAATATGAACTGCAAGTTTGAAAATCAAGCCCTTCATCCCCCATTTGTAAAATGGGCCTAAATGACAGTCCAAATGGCTTGCAGTCTAAAAGTGCAAGCATGACTCATTGAAGCATCAGTCCGTTGGTCCAAGCCAACCACACATTTTGAAAGCTTTAATCACGCATTTAGGTTTGGGGGCTTGGGTAACAATAAAATGCTGAAAAAAAATCACATCTTTTATATTGTTCTTATTCTGTTGAAATGATAAGCTTAACCTGCAAATCTCCTTTTGCTGGTGAAAACGACCAAGCCACCCTTCTAAATATCCAGAATGGGACAATTTCATGGAATATCCCCGATTTTCTCCACCTAAGTGAAGAAGCAAAGGATTTTGTCAAACGGATCCAACGACAATCTCCGGAGTGAGTGCATTTCTACTGTTTTTCCTGAATAATATTGCCCCAGCTATGTGCCTGGAGCCAGTGGCAGTGCTCAGCTAGTCAGACCTACATCCCCACTGATAAGAAACCATTCAGATCAGGCGGCCAGTTATTGTCTCAGGCTTTCACCTTTAAAGACACCCTGGTTTGAATCCATCATTATATATAACACCCAGAAAACCCCAGAGTTTGACTGAAAGACAAGAATGCATAGACTCCAGCAACCAAAGGGACCACTGATGGTCTTACTTGGACATCCAAACCTGCTGCGCTGAGGAGGGTCATATAAGAGCCTAAATGCAACAGTACAGTCAATGCATGAATTAGGCTGCACCACATATGGCACAAAGATAATACAAAGTCAAGAGTGTGATGTACATACTATGTTGATTCACTTCCCATCTCAGCCTGCTCAGTTCCTCAGCTCTTTAGTCTTTAGTCACCCTACGAGCTAGTCATGCAGATGACGTAAGTCAGAGTCACCGTTTGAGGGTGCCCTTCACTTCCAGTAAGTCAGTCTCCCTTCCTAGATGCATTAGTCATTTCTTTTTGGCAAACACTGTATTTCAGAGAACTTCCACCTTCACCTCCAGTGAAGGCAGCTGAAAGATGACTTTCTCCAGTAGGAGGGCCATCCTTTAGGCCCATACAGGACTGTGGTCCCACAGCCCTGGCATAAGGGGTTAACATACCATAGACTAAAAGAAAAGACCTGTTTCGCAGGAAGCTTGGATTTAAAAGATACTTCTGTCTTAACGGCTCAGCTTAACTGGACCAAACAGCAGCTGGTTGGTAATGACCACTTTCTATCTGTGTGAATGCCCCAGGCAAATGCACGCAGTAGAGTCTTGCTGATGGTATATAAAGTGACTTATTGGTAACTTTAGTTATCCTTGTCCATTTTCAGGGCCAGACCGAGTGCTTTGGAGTGTCTCTCCCACAGCTGGTTCACAGTGAGTTTGCTCTGCTCAGCAGCCGTTTCCTCCACAGGAAAGCAGGGCTGGAAGGGACCTCACCAGGTCATCTAGTCCAGCCCCTGCTCAAGGCAGGATCATCCCTGGCTAAAGCACTCCACCAAGTGTCTAACCTGCTCTTGAAAACTTCCAAAAACGGAGATCCCCAAATTTCTAGCTAACCTATTCCTATGCTTTACCACCCTCATAATAAGAAAGTCCCTCCTACTTAGTCAGCTGGCTCCTTTACCTCACATCTTGAGGATACAAGAACATCTAACATCTATGAATCTATGATACTTCATACCCAAGAGTGTTTGGGCCTCGTCCATAAACATGCACCATGGTATCTTTTCTTTTCCAAACTTGCCAAGACCTTTCATTAACATGAATAGACCTGACACATCTGCCTTAAAAGGAGGCTAGGTCCTTTTGGCTGGGGCTTTGTAGAAATGAAAGTTCATCTTCGGACAACTGGGACCACTCATAAAGGAAAACAGTCACATAGGGGAAAGAATCAGATCAATGGGAAATTTGATGGGAGACTGAGTAAAAATTAGGGTCGAATTTGGCCCATTGCAGCTGAGCACGTCCTTGAATTGGAGAATGCCCTATCCCTTGGGGTGGGAAATCTCTAACCAACTCCTCCTCCTATGTTAGGATTTGGTAAGGAATATATATTTTTTTTCTTTTCAGCATAATCTCCCATTTGAAGAAGCTCACTTTATTGATACAAAGCAGCTCAAATTCATTGTGGCTCGAAGCAAGTGGCAGGTCAGCAGGCATTGCTCTGTTTTACTCTTTCCGCCTAGCTATATTTTTTAAAGTTTGTGTCAAGACTGCCAGAGCAGGGCAGAGCGTGTGATGGAAACCTGCATGGCATGGCTGTGAGCAGGGAATAATTCATATAGGAAAAGCATTTGGTAGGTGTAGAAACCAGTCAACATTAGATGAACAGAGGTTTAGGAAGGGTTGGGCACAAGATTGAAATAGGTGGCACGATGGTCCTCTGTATGAGAGGCAGAGAAGTGGGAGTGAGTGGAGCGGGACAGTTTTTGAAGGTGTTGAAGTGTCCTTTGGGGAGCCTGCTTTTGTTTCATACCCTATGGGTTTTACTCTAAACTGCCCTGAGCCTTTTCTGGATAGGGCAGCATATAAAACTAATAAGCACATAAAGTGTCCAGGCTCAGAACAAGCGGGTGGCCCATCTCACCTTCTATGCTACAGCTTCTGGCATTGCAAGAGGGGACCGCTATTTGGGACATTTAGTAAAGATGCTTGAATCTGAGAGTGCCGGTGACTTCTGAATTCTCCTCACAGCTGAGTCAATTAGGAAGCCCTTCACTGCACTCAGTATGGTTTCATTTGTTGTAAATTTGAAGATAATCGGGTCCAGAATGAACTGATGAGACCTAAATCAACTCTACTGAAATGCATAGCGAGCATATGCTATGCAATTCTGCTGTGTGTTGCTTTCCAGCAGATATAAAATGTGTGTGTGTGTGTGTGTGTGTATTTATACCATGCTCATCACTATGTTCCCATGTAGTAAAAAATACCATGCATTTTTTTTCCTTATTCAGCGCTCCCTCATGTGCTATAAATCTGTACTGGTAATGAGATCCATCCCAGAAATCCTAAAGAGGACCCATGAAAACACCTCTCTTGGCATCTCCCGACACCTCGTAGAAGAGAGCAGCTCCACCAGTACTAGCGGTTCCTCGTCAGACAATGAGAACTCATCCTTCGCCAAGAGAAGGCACTTTGGCTCTACCCCAGAATTGCACTTGTCTGTGTTTGATGTACCGAGTTATAAAGAACCTCCCACGAAGGCACCTCAAGAGAAACAAGCCAAGGCCTTAGCGCCTCCAGTAAAACCCATGAGACGGAAATACGCCTTAATGAAGAATGAACTGGATGATAAGTCACCTACGGAAAGCAGAGAAGTAATACTAGATGCCTCAGCTCAGAAGGGAGAAGAGATTTGTCCTGAAGTCAAAGATGAACAAGCAGACCAGTCTCAAGAGCAAGTTGCAGAAAAGCCTTTGCTGGTGAAGGCAGAAACCGTCATCGAGGGAGCTGACTTAGCCTCACAAAAAGAAAAGGCAGATGCAACATTACCTGAAAAAGAGCAACTTGACAAAGGTGGTGATGGAGGAGGAAAACCCACTTTGTGCGTCCCGAGACAGAGCATAATTAAAAGCACGTTCTACAGCCAAGCGTCTGAGCTACCGGTCAAGGGGTCTATCTCACCGGGAAGCGACCTCAGAAAGCATCTGGAGAGAGCAAGACGGACCTACAGGAAAGCAGGGTATTCAAAAGTACCTCTCAGCGGCCTTCGTGAACCCCTCCTAGAACACTTTGAACTGGAAGAAGAAGAGAGGCTATCGGGCGATGAAGACTATGGGAAGCACAGAGAAGGTCTGACCAAATCAGCTTCCTTCGATACTGCAAGGAAACCACCCCGCCCCACCTTCAGTGTTTCCAGAAGAAGCCGTTCCCTGGACGATTACAGATTGAGAGCCTTCAGGCTATCCAAGGAAGACAGCATTAAGGAAGAAGAGGGAGATCAGGCTGCACAGGAGGGTGGTCCAAGACCGGCTCATGAGCAGGACACTTCTGCTGACAGCAGCGAGGTGCATGCAGAAGAGCTTTCCAGGGAGGAGGACACTAGCAAGGCTAGAAAGGATCGTTTAGAAGAAGAGCCTGGTTCTTCCGCACCACGTGAAGAGGTCCGACGTTCAACTCTACCTGCTCAACCATCAGAGAGAGATTTAGTCTCAGCTCACAAGGGTGAAACAGAGGAGCACCCAAAGCCACAACCTTCTGCTTATAGTCATGAGGCTTCTGCTGATCTGGAAGGCAAAAGCCTGATTTTAATAGCTCAGCAATTGGATGTAACCTCATCGTTGGCCTATAAGCCTGCAAGTGCGCAGTTTAAACCTTCCACTCCCGGTGGTCTAGAGTCCACTGTTGTGGGAGGTGAAGGCCCCATTTTGATTGTTCCTCAATCAGAGGCGGCCCCTACATCAGCCCACGAGAGGGGAAGAGGGGA